TATAAAAGAAAGTTTCTTAAGGAACGGTTTTCACTGTCCCGGAGGCAGAAGGAAGAGCAGCGCGAGGCCGGGAAACGGAGGCGGTGCCTGAGGGTGACGTCAGAGACCACGGCACCGCCCCCTCGTCTTTCATCTCCCTAGGAGGCCAGGTTCACTTCTGCTTTCCTGGCAGTAGAAAAGTCACATATTCGCTTAATTCCATCCTGTAAAAAGGAGGCAGACTTTGCTAGCCCCATGGGCGCTATGCCTTCCACCAGCATCTGGGAATGTTAATATGTTCCCCTGGCCCATTGTCCCTCTTAGTCCTTCATGACTTCCTCTCATTAGAATGAAGTGGACATGGGAGGCCAGGAACCTTTTCTCCTGGCCAAACGCCTCTCTCTGAGATTCCATTTTCTTAAAAAAAAAAAAAAAAAAAGTCTAATCTGTGGTACAGACAGACATATTTATAAATGTGGATAGATTTTGCCCAGAATAAAGTCATGTCTCAAAAGCTCTGAAAGCTCATACCGTCTAGGGCTCCACTCTGACTGATGGTTCATAAAACAAATCTCACCTAATTCTTTCAGTCTGATGCTCCTGTAATTCAAGGATATATATCACAGAATGAAACTAGCTTGAAAGTTTTAATTTTAAACATGACTTCTTAGTGGAGTCGAGTCCTGCTGGTTTGAAAAACTGTTGGATATATTTTTGTTAGTGTTTGAAGACCACTAGAATCATTATGGTTTCAATGTTTTAAAGAAGATTTTTTTCCAGAGCATGAATTTTTGGACACACTTCTTTTTGTTGCTTTCTTTAATGTAGCAATGCCTTTTGAAACCAATCTTTGGAGATTTTTGGGGTTGCACAATTCAAATTTGTGGCTCTCTTACCATTCCAGCGAATGTAGCGGTGCCTTTTCATTCAGGAGCTGAAATTGTTCAAATACATTTAAAAGAGACCAGTAGTGGGTCAGGATGGAACCAGGTTTTCCCATAGGATTTGCCATATTGTAAAATTCATGCATCAAAGATTGAAACCCGGGAGCAGCAGACGGGAAGAGCTGAGAAGGAATTTTCAAAAGCAGAATATCAGAATAAGTTATGGAAAATAAAATGTAGTATTACTAGGAAAGGCTTCATATTTATTCAGGTATTTTGAAAATTAAATATTTATTAAAAATCCATTATTAGTACCATAATTCAATTTTCTGTGTTGCTGTCAAGGTAAATGCCACATTTTATAAGGAACTAATTTTGTTGATGTTTGTGTATCGAAGTGGAGTGAACGTCCTTTCTCTTTTAATAGAATGGAAATGGATATTCCTTTCTATAAGATACCAGGAAAGAGATGACTAACAGCGTGAGTCAGGCAGCAGGAAAAATTAGGAGAAATCCTCTTGGGTTGCAAGTGTCTTATAAATGTCAGGATGGGAGAGATTAATTTTATAAAAAAAAAAATTCATGGTTATCCTGTTTCTACTCTGAGAGTCAGGAAACTAGTGCTTGCCCTTTCTCCTGCAAAATTCTTCTATTCTTCCTCACATTGTGCTAAGAGATGCTCTCCACTTTCACAATACCTTAAATGATAAATTCCTAAAGGATGAAGCCAGGTCTCTTTGATTATCTTTGTATAGTATTGAGCCAAACTGTCATGAATAGAATACTTACTATATTTAAATTAGTTAAAATAACCTATCAATTAAGTTATAATTGGAGTAATAAACTTACTTTGAACCTACTAAAATATGGAACTAAATTTTATAATTTTTATAAACAAGTGTCAAACATTCACTAATTAGTAAGCTGGTTAATACTCATATGAGTATCATATGAATACATAAGAGTTTTTAAAGTAAAAAAAAATATTTGGCCCAAATAGATTAATAATAAAAGTTATTAGTAGACTTTTTAAAATGCTATTTTACAGAGATGTTTTGTATAAACAAATCTCAGGTAGGAAAACACAAATCCATTATAGTTTGCTTATATAAGTGGCAGAACTAGAAACAAAGCAAGTGCTGAGTACACACCTATATATGTAATAAATTATCCTTTGATATTGACCAATAACTTAACAGAACCCAAGAAAATACATAGAAAATAAAATAAACGCATTTACATTTTTAGGCTAAAACCAGTAAAAGTTATTATAGAGTTATTTACATTTTCTTTCTTTGGAGTTTGCTATAGAGTTACAACAAATTAAGGTTTAGGTAGTTTTCTAAAATCTTGTAATTTTATTCAGTAATATTTACTTTTACACAAACAAAAAGGGCACAATAAGCAGAAGGAAATTGTGGTTACATGTAAATATCCCAAAGCTAAAAAGCAAAACCTCTTTAGAAAATTGTTAACATTTTCCCCTCAAGAACTATCAAATCCTGCCAGCTCTACTAATCCCACATTCTTTTACTTTTAGCAAGTCATGTATTATTTACAAACTCTTAAAGAATATGCATTCTGCTCTTCTTAATATTTATATCCCTGAAAAGAAGAAGACGCTTACAAAGATTTCTATTTCTTTTTTTTTTAACACTTTCATTATGGTATGATTCCTAAAGATTTCTATTTCTTAAAGAAATAGCTTCACCTAGTGTGAAGTTAAAATCAAGTAGCTTATGGTTGATCTACTATAATCTCAGTAATCAAGAGGAATCAAACATCACTTTTTGTTTTACCAGTTGGAATTGTCCCAAACTCTCAAGTTCCTTTGTAAAAGTCATAATTGAGTTAATCTCCTCTACAGACAGGCATTGATTTAGTTCTTTTTGATAGTTTTCACCCTGTAATAGGGAGGAGAAAAAAAACAACTCTTAAGCAATAGTTACAAAGTCAAATCATGTTTAGCCCAATTCACAAACCAATCAAATTTTGAACTCTATAAACAAACAGCTGAGCTAATTAATTCTAAATAACACATAATAACTTCAACTTGTCACAATGGTGTCTGAATGTAAGAAGACTTCATATTTGACAGAAAGGACCTGAAATAGCTTAATAGTGCTTTGGTAGCAAGGTTGGGAATTGGGGCCCAAAGGACAGAATGTGACAGTTTGGAAATGGAGGAAGAGTCTCCTTCAGTCTTCAGGGCACTAGAGATCAGAGCAGCAAATTTACACATGAACCCCATGTATGGGACCTTACCATTCTGGAGTTTCAAGGATTCAACTAAACAGACACCCACATTTTCCCCATATTCATTTTTTCTAGTGCATCCCTGAGAGGAGGCCATCCCCTCTGGGTCAAATGGTTCTAATGGCTTTAATGACAGTCCACTCACTAAGGAAGGAAAACCAGGAACTCTAGGAACAAATCAATAAAACCATAGGGGAACAACATTCTACAAGGTCATATCTCTCAAAAACATCTCTCCTTGGAGCATTGTTGGTTGGTACGACCTTTCACATTCCACTTTTCCAAATTTTCCAATTATTGTTTTAAAACAGAAAGACATATAGAGAACAATACTGTACCCAGTAATCTGTACAGATTTTTTGATGCATCAAGAAAACTTGCACTAATGTGTCATAAAAATTAACCAATCTTACACTGAAGCACTACTCTCTAATCATCCGCATCTAATCAAAGATGTTAACCAGATGTGAACGCTTTAAAAACAAAACAAAAAACGAGTATTATAACTCAAGCCCTTTGATGTTAATCTAGAGCACTCACTGTGGTTCTAACTGCCTCCAAAATGTTCAGGTATTCCTTTTAAAGTATTCCATAACATGTAGTAGGTACTGTTCATTATAATCACAAAATTTCCCTGGGATTAAGGAACTGCTTTACTTCATTTTCAACCCATCATTTCATCATAACCAATCATTCACACACTTAGTAGACATAAAAATAATATTGGTCCTTAGGTCAGAAAAAGATTAAGAGGTTTATATAATGGATACAAATCAATCTCAAATGAATTATCAGGTTGCTTAACCGCACAATAAAGAAAATGGTACCTTCTAAAAATGAATTAAAAGTATTTTTCAGTATAAAAATTTGCTCTTACCTTAACTACACCTGATCTATAAAGTCTCTGAAATATCTCAGAAAATATGGAAAGTGAAGATTCATTAGACAGGAGAAAA